AATCTTGAGTGCAAAATCACTGCATGTGAAACCATCAACTAATTAATCATTTTTTTAAATACAGGAAAGTATAGAAGTGAGAAAGAAGTGGAATGGGCAAGCACACAATAAAATGTGCTCCTGGACGAGAACACATAAAATCACTCAGAAAATACTTAAGGTGGTATTAGACCAAACTTGATGTGACATTAAACATGTTCCACGGTGCATTCCTGGTCATGAAAGCTCCTCTGTATGAGGGCTCGTATGACATGTCTTTGCAGGAATTGAGATCTGCAAGAAGGACATTCTAATTTCCTCAACTCCAAAAGTGGTATTTCCCAGTGAAAGAAGAAAAATAGAAAAGCCATGAAGGGGAACCTTCATATAATGACTTTATACAGACTGTCAGAGACTCCAGAAGGACGGATTTAAGAGAGTTCTTACCAAACAGATCCAAGGTGATCCACGTGCACATGGAAAGAAATAGCAGCAACTAACTGCTTTCTATAACATTGTGATAGTAGGACAGGATTTTTTATTTTTTCCTAAATGTAAAAGTCTATGTTATTTCCAAAATTTAATTAATGTGATGGTTTCACAGAATCACAGAATATGCTGAGTTGGAAGGGACCCACAAGGAATATCAAAGTCCAACTCCAACACAGGACCCCCCAGGAGTCACATCATGTGCCTGAGAGAGTTGTCCAAATGCTTCTTGAACTCTGTCAGGCTTGGTGCTGTGATCACTTCCCTGGGGAGCCTGTTTCAGTGCCCAACCACCCTCTGGGTGAAGAACCTTTTCCTAATATCCAACCTAAACCTCCCCTGACGCAGTTTCATGTCATTTGCTTGGGAAGTTTGTAGAGGTACTGACTGGTGTCTTCCCGAGGCTCTAGCAATGGTTAATGCAACACTGGTTGAGGAACTGTAAGGATGTTTGCTCTCTCAGCTAGAAGGAATATCTTGTCTTCTCTTTTACTCTACGCGCTGCATTTTGAAATCAAATAAATACTAAACCAGACCAGCATTCAAACAAACCATCTTTCAGAGGAATTCTAGTAGGAGTGAAATACATATAACTAGGAATATAAAGTATCAAATTCCATTGCTGTTTGAGAACACTGGCAGCTAATAAATTCAAATATAGACATACATAAAGGTCTGCCCTTATTTACATTTTCCCTTCCTTTTTTTGTCCAGCTGCCATTTTTTGGCCTATAGAAAACAATCCTCTTTTTTTGAGTTAGATTCCACTGTAACAATGCCCTTTCTTGGTAGTCCTCCCTCTCTCACCCTACACCCACAAATCATGATACAAAGCTACTCAAAAATCAATCTACACTTGAGCAAACACAGGCCTGTTGTCTTTGCTTTTTTCATTCTTCTTACTACTTTTTTCCCCTCAAAACCCCAATCAATTGTTCCAAAGAAAAAAAATCCATACAATTTTGCATGGATTTGCAGCTTTCCCTTTCCACTGTCCCTTGTTTTCCTGTCTACCTTGAGTAGGTCTGTGGCTATACAGTCTTTCTCTATTTCCACAGCTCCTGCAGTTGGGTACGGCCCATCATTCTGATCACAGGTCTGAGTTTCAGTCTTGCATGCTATACTGAAAGCCCTCCTTCATCCTTCAAACAGGTTAGTATTTATGCTAGACCCTAATTTTCAAGTTCCTTGAGCTCACTGTCCTCCATAAGCCTTAGTAGCAACCAAAACAAAAGGACTTGGTAGCTATCAGAATCTCTTGTGCATTTTCTCCAAACTGAAGGCTTCTTCCAGTCCCTAAGGGTAATTTCCTTCCTCCTCTCTCCAGAGCCTGTCTTAAAAGATGAGCTGTGCTAATAAACCAAGAAAGGCTATTTAGAAGCAAGGTTTTAATTAACAATGAGCTGAATGTAGCTCAACCTCCACAGTACAGAAAGTGGTCCCAGCTAAACCCTCTAAAACCTGCTATGTGTGTTATATGTAAATAAAAAGATAACTATTGTGGTTGCTGTACCACATTATTGTTATTTTAATGTGACTAGTATCAGATGAAAAACACTGAGGGTACATAATGCAAGTTATTACTCTAGTCTAAATCACACAGACCGTTTAATTTTTAGGTGTATTTTTTACACAGCATAAAAAATCCTCTTTCCTCCCTCCAATGCTGTACCTGTGTGCAAAGATGTGATCAACACAGGAGTAAGTGCATGGGCTATTTAAAGACATACTTCTGTACTCATCTGTATTTTTAATATAAGGAATGCCAGGTGATCCAAGTATGCAAAAATTCATTACTAATGAAGTTACTCTATCATCACATTTCATTTTTGTATCAGCTTTAACAAGTGTGTTAACAAAGCAAAATGTAGTAGTTCTGTATTTGACTTAAAAAATATTACTAATAATTTATTATGCATAAGCAAGTGAACACCATTTCAGTTCAAGTAGAAAAGATTTCTATTTCCAGAACTAAATGCCAAGATCTGAGGTAGCACAGTTATAGGTGTAGGTTCTGTGGTAATTTCATCCTTCTACCCAACTCCACGCATAGATTGTGTTCCCATTTCTTGAAAATCTGTTATGCTAAATTAAAATAATTGACACATTAGCAGGGGAAGGAAGGTTTTCAGGCTTGCTTCTTTATTCTTAAATCAAAGAAGCATAAACACAATAAGATAAATCTATGCTCTGTTCAGTTTATACATTCAGTGCCTAAGGATTTCATAACCTGCAGGTCCTTCAGTGCACAGCTCAACTGAAACAACTCAAAAGAGTCTAATAACAATAATATAAAGTTACTACACCAAACTTCTGTTAGGCTTCTGAGACCAAATCTTCCCCTCTGAGGAGAGCAGACGCTGTAGTTATTTTTAAGGTCCAATAAATTTGATGTTCTTGGATGATTTTGGTAAGAAATGTGGTGCACCTGGTGCTCCTTACCCTTGGCAACAGCATGAAACATTTTACAAAGGCCTTGTCCAGAATTACTCAAAAAAAAAGGAGAGTTTAGCCTGTGACATCTCAAATCTTGGTGCACCTCTCAGACGAACTGCAAAAGACCAGCTAACAGCTCTAGTGCTCAGGTGTTTTTTGGGGTTTTTTTGCAAGTTTCAGATGACGGTCATACTGAAAAATTTCACTTGCTTTTTGCTGTACCTCGGTATGGCATTGAACTCTTCAAGCCCTGAAACTGTCAATGGGCACTTTCAACCTCATAGGAAGCCCGAAACTGTAATGCTGGTTTAGAGGCAGATAGGGATGTATAAATAAGACTATTGTTTCTACGGAGCAAAGCTTAAATATTGTTATATGGTAGTTAAAGTAGAGTATAATAGTCTATTGTTTCTATGAATAGGTTCTCCCAAGCACCAATCAACACCTTATCGTTAACATTAATCACTGGGATATCTTCTCCAAGATCAAACAAACACTTCTTGAGAGTTCAGACTTTGACTTCAGAAAACTTTCGGTGTAATAACAGATTAGATTTAAATATCAGCGACTATATCCTTATTCAATGAATCTTATTTTAGTGATTTAGTGTTACATAAAGCTATCTGAAAAGGTTTAGGAAGATTGTAAGTAAATGTGCAAAAAAACAACAAAAAAAATAAATTCCAGCAACCAAAAGTCTATTTCAGCCAAAATATCTTTGGTTCTTCTCTTAACATCTGGTATTTTGAACCATAATTCCATTTCTATAAGGTAAGGTAACAATATTATTTTATCAACATACCAAGTTATTTCATTTTACTCTACTTCTAAATATGTTTTAATCAGCTCAACAGAACAAAACTACTTCTTTAGAAGTTGCTTTAGATTTTTAAAGCTCTCTAAATTTAAAAGAGAAAACAAACAAAAAGAAAAATCTACTCCTTCTCACATTCACAAGAGAGCCTCCAGCCCCAGCTCTATCTGTTTCTTGCTAATCTTTCATTTGTGCCTCTGAAAACTGGGTGAGGTCATAACAGCTGTCCAGCTAAAAGCTGGCCAGGGTCCTTTTGAGAATCCACCAAACCAGACATGGCAAAGTCTCTCTTTCACACGAAGGGCTTTAATACTGATATGATGGTTCAACAGTCTCCTGTGATTCTATAAGTCTTGTCTTTCTCCTCCTTCTAAGTGCTGAGGAGGCAAGTGAATGCTGTGGCTCAGCAAAACTGTACAAAACAAGTAACAAACTATCCAATCTAAAGGTCTCTCAGGTAGGATGGAAGAGTTCTCCCACACAGAATATTTTAAGCTTTCTGACAGAAAAACTCTTAACCTTATTGTGATGTCACATGAAGTTTGGCTTTTGCTGAAAGTACATTTTCCACTGATGGAAATTTAGCTGGAAGTTTCCAACAGGATCATTTTTAGGATGTATGCCAGTGCAACTTGATGTCCATGATGTCACTCCGGTCGATTAGTCCAAATGTGTCAAACAAAACTGAAAATTAATCCAGTCTTCAGAAAGAAGTGTCAGTTGGCTCCTGTAGCTAAGTCAAACCAATGTTTATAACAGAACAAACCCACCACATGCCTCACGTAGTTAAGACAGTAAATAAGGGCACTTGGAGCTCTGAAGCTTTCTCACTGGCTTCTTACAGATATACTACACTGCCCTGCCAAGAACTTAGTAAAGTGTTTTTTAATTTTTTGAGCCCTCATTCTCAGTCTTCAGAAACTTTTTTCTTATCTACTACCTGCTATCCACACAAAAATGAGCATAAAAAATTAGCACTCCTGCTCCTTCAGAGTCTGGACCAAGGATCTGTGTTTGTGTGGAAATATTTGCCTCAGCCAGCCACTAAATCCAGCAAGATTTTAAGTAAAAACCTCATTTAAAAGACATCATATCACCCAGATCCCATGATGGCAATGAGGTCTTTATATTTGTTTTCATTCCTCCACAACAGCCAAGAAGAAAATATTTTGCCGTGAAAGTTCACAGAAACTAACATACGTTGCTGCTGAAGAAGTTCAAAGCCGTGTGGCAGTGAGCCGACCAAGATGCACCTTGCACACAAACATGTTCGACATCTTGTGCCATGAACAAACATGATTTGAGGTAATCAGCTACTTTTCTCTCATTCTCCTCAGGCTTCCCTAAATTGTGAGAAACAGACTATTAGAGACACAGGTCTCTAGGTCACAAAATGAGTTTCCAGGTTTGGAACTGACAAGTGAGACGATTTACTGCAGAAGAAAGATAAAAGAAAAAATGCCAATAGTTTTGAGATTAATGAAGATCAAGTTATCCACAGTCAGGTAAAGCAGCAACTATTTAGTTGCTGTCTCGTTGTCTGAACTTACAGCAAATGGTGGTTTCCAAGTTTCAGCCACTAAATGGAAGCTAAAGGCAACCCATGGCTGGGGTGATGCACCATGCAGCTGTACAGACTGCAGCCTTTTACAACAAGGAGCATTTTTGATACTACCAAATCATCATTACAAGTATTTTATAAACCCTAACTGCATTTATACACACATATGAAGATAGTCTGCACATTTGAGAACAATTGCTGATTCACATAGTACCTTTCTGCTGAAGCAAGGAGGGTAACAGGAATAAAACCTTACAGAAGGAACATTCTGATGTAAGGAATGATTTAAGGTGATACTTTTAAGTTGAAATACTGGACACAGCATTTAGCTCTGCCTTTGTTGAAAACCAACTCTGACATTTATAAAGCTTGTAAGCTGTCAAAATTTCACTTAATGCTTTATCCAGTAATGAGACCTGAAGCAACATAATGCCTTTTCCTACACATTAGAGCAGAGGCTTAAGCAGCATGGGATTTAGATGCAAGCACAGAGGCATGTAGAGCTATTTTAGGCACTTCTGTAGTATCCAAGACACCTGCATGGGGTTATGCAGATATGACATCAGACCCATGCCCTTCTGGAGAAGTATTTGTAGACCAAACAAGAAAAGTTAAGTCACTAAAAGTGACACTAGGTGTTGAAAATTGAATGTCTCCCAGTAGAGTCTGCTTCTACAAACTCACTGAGATGACTATGAAATTCTCTGAACCATAAATCCTTACTTGAGTTTTACTTTTTAAATATTAAGATATTTCCATGAGAATGATTGGCTGCTGCTCTTAGGAAGCTTACTGCACCTATTTATGGGCCAAAATGAGATATCTGTTTCGAAAGTATTGCACCTGTGCCTGCAAGGTTAATCCCTGTATATGAAGGACAGCTTGCTTTAACTCTATATGCATTGCTATTTTCTGCAGGGATACTGTTAAATATAGTTCTAAAAGCAGTGACCATATAAAAGTAGATGGGTTTGCCACTTGCCTAAATTGGAAGGCATCAGCGTTGTGTGCACCTGGACAATCATACAGTCCTCTCTGTATGTAGCAGTGGGGAAAAGGGAGGACGGGGCTGAAACAGAGAATGCATTGAAAGAAGCCTGACCCCAGAGGGCAGCTGAAAGATGCTGGCAGCAGCGAGAGTAAGGTGGCTTCCTTCATTTTGAAGAAACTAACGTAGCAGTACATGAAAAAAATATGGAAAAAAGTTTATTCTTAAGGGAAAACAGCACACATGCTTTATTCACAAAGCATACATGCTTTATGCACGATGCCAACTCCCTCATTAGCATCAGTATTCTCACATGAAAGGGTCAAAGCCCACACATTTTAGTGTGACCAAATGCTTCTCAGTTTCTTCTCTCTGAGAAATGATTACATGACACTGGCTGCTACTAAAGAAGGATCTCTTGAAACAATGGGAAAATGGACACTCCAAGTAAGGAATGACCATATAAGAGTGGTGGGAGCCATCCTGAGGGAAAGTAGGGAGGTATAAGTGAAAGGGTGTAGCAGGACAGTGAAACACAAAGGGAGCCTGCTGACAGCATGTGTGTATATAGGCCTATAGCTCTATCCTAACACAAGCTACTTGACAGGGTATCTGCTCACCTTTCAGCTTGCAAAATCCTAGCTGAGATTTGTGTGAGGTGCCCTGGCTTCCTCCTTGTGCACTGCCTTCCCCTTGGTCTAGTTAAGAAATGGAGGAGTTTTTCTGAAGGTGCTCTGTAACTTCTCCTGCACGATGACTTATTTCAAATAGCATACAGATTTCTCTCTGTTCCAGGAGCTTTGTTGAGGGGTGACTAGCCTACCCAAGATCTCCTATCAGAAGAGAGAGTTTGCATCTAAAACTGTGAAGGTAAGAGGCTGTGTCAGCTTGCAGGCTTGCTGCAGGCTCGTGCAACTTTTAACCACATTGTAATGATTACATGAGCGTGTCAAAACAGCATTTATCAACCTTACCTGAACTTTCTGCTACTATCTGGTCATGGATTTTTTCTTTTCATCAAGTTAGTTTTGTCCTTTTTCTATGAGCACTCTTTCAAAGGCATAAACAATTACACCCATTTCACATCTAAGGTTAAACTTGGGTCAAAACAATTTCTTAGCAAACAATTCTCAATGGAAATATTACTCCAGGAGATAGACAGCTATCTAAGTAACACTACTTGCATCTACTGGAATGCCAATTTTGGGGTGAAAAATAATATGGGGTGAAATACAATAACAAAGAATTCTAAGTGCTTTTAAAGGTGTTGGTTATTCCCCATTGTGCACAAAGAAACTGAAAACTGGAAAATGTTTTTTCTGGTATTTGACAGCATCAACTTAAAAAGGTGACAAAAAGGGACAGAAAGGACTGTATGCCAGTCCATTTGCACACAACACTAATCACACTTGACATGTTTGTTTAGCGATCTACTTGTATATTTCAGAGCCTGGATATACATATTTTTAAAAGTCTGAAGAATAATTATTTTTCCATGGTACCACAGCTATACCCATGATGCAGCAGTCTGACCTGGAAAAATACGTATATATTTTGTTCCTCTGTGTTTGTTCCAAGCCAGGCTACTCTTTGCTAGAATGCTTCGAAATGGGGACATACCCTTTCATATCCTTTTAGTTACACAAGCAGGAGTTTCTATTTCCTTGTTTATCCTCAATGAAAGGGTGAGCAGTCAAGTCAAGCATTGGGCAATGCAGCAGATGTGCACAAAGCACCCATCTGACAATGGCCAGGGTTCCCACTGAGACTTTTGAGTAGAGAATAATTGTACTTTCTTTTGGCATGAACCAAGGGTACAAAATCACATTTACGTGTGCAAGCCTTTGCCCTCTCAACATGTGTTCTCAGCTGCATTAGAGTAGCTGGCGAAGGTCAGTTTGATTTTCAGTCCTAAAAGCAAAGAGTGACAGTAGGAATGTGGCACAGAGTAACATTTTAAAATAAAGCATTTTCTCTCCCTCCAACTACACTTAGGTTTTATTAATTAGGGTTTGCAGGATAAAAAAAGTTAGAAATGTCACTCAATAAGAAACTAGCTCAGGTTTTTCAAAATCCAGAAATTAAAAAAATACCACCAACAACAGAAAAGCTGATATTGCACAGAATTACTCTTTTATACTATAATTTTAAAAAATCTCACAAATTGACATAAAAGTTCAGTATTTAGTTTCAGGTTACACGATGCTTTCATATAATGATTCTTCCTGAGGGTTTTTTGATGTTACGTCCTTTTCTGTATCTCAATTATTTCTAAGCATAAAGTACTCTCAATCTAATATTCCATCTGTTAGGTTTTCTGTCCTCTTTTTTCCTTTCCATTTTTTCCTCCCTTGATCTACATTTTTTGTCTTGTCTCCTTTTCCCAATCCATGAATTCTCTACTACTCTTTCCCATTTGGAGTACTTAGCTTTTTTCCATTCATTAACAGGACGATAAATTTTACCTGAACCTCAACTCTTGAAATGGAACTGAAGTATATTTTGATTCACTACATCTTGGATAAGAATTAAGTTGCAAGCCAAGAACCAAAAAAACCTCAAAACAAAACCACCAACCATGCTGCAGATAACTGTACACACAGCACTCTGGAATTAACAAATCCTAAATTCCTAACATATTTATGACACAGCAGAGTTCATTCGTCAAGCTAACTGTGTGTGCTAGTTCCACATCTGAGTAGCTATATATATGAATGCAGCATTCAATCAGAAAGCAATTGAAATTTGGGTGACTAAATTCTAGAATAAGACTAGTTCCCTTACCTTAAAATTAATAGCAAGAAATAAACTGCTTTTCATACATTTATAAAGACACAGAACTTTTAATTTCCAACCCTATGCTTAATTTTTGTGCTGTTCTGATTTCTTATAAGTTTTGAGAAGACAGTAGCAGATACCCATCAAACTCTCTACTTTTTTACTTGGCGAGACCTAATCCCATATGATCTTATCAAAACAGAAATCCATAGTGTTTATAGATTCATACAACCCATCAAACCTGGGAGATATGAAATAGATGTATTTATTGAAACGTAGATGAGAATATCAATTAGAGTGAAACTCCTTGACTATCAAGCTTCTATACCCTGCAACCTTCTTTAAAGGTCACAAATTAGATCTGTGAGACCAATCTACCGATTTTCTTCCTTTTGGTAAAGAATGCCCAACCCTTTCATATGATTTTGCCTCAGAACACTACTAAATTCATGGTACTTCATCCAGCATTTCTCCTTCATGAGACCTTTCCCCTGTTCCCTAAGTAACATGCTGTTGCATACTACCCTCACCTACTTATTTCCTGTGCCATTAATGCTGGAAGTGTGCCTGCACAAATGCAAGCAGTGCTCAGTGGGATATATGCAGCAGCACCACCACGTCACTTCAAATGACTTCTAACAGAAACTGCAACTATTTTAAGCTCATTTGAAAAGGATGTGACTTGTAGGGACATTTAATTAATTAGGCAAGTGTTTAGAGTAAAACCCCAAACAAGGCAAGTACTGGGGATCCTTTATTTTATCTGTTTTAATTTTATTTTAAGAGCTCCCTCTGGCTCTGGACACAATCACACCAGTATTTGTCAGGACAGCTGTTCTGAAGCTCAGGTGCACTGACTGTGCGTGTCCTCTGTTCCCAGATGACTCAGTGCTGGCCATTCTGTGAGAGTGGCAGTTTAAGGGTTAAACATCAGAGGGCACAGAACAGCACCACCTTGATCCCTGAGCCCTGAAAGATACCCACATGGGAAGGGAAGTGCTGCCTGCCCAGCCCTG